GTGCAACTCTTTTTTTTTTTTAAATCATTTTATTGAGGGTGCAACTCTTCTTTTTTTTTGGTACAACTCTTCTTAATGTGAATGAACTACTGAACTGTATGATATGTGGATGTAGTGGCAATAAAACTGTTGAAAGGGGAAAAAAATAAAAGGAAATGTACTGATTTTTTTAAATGGACTAACATGGGGTAACCACGAAAATACTTATTTTAGCACTCACTACCAAATACATTGTAATCAATTAGCAGGTGTTATTGACACACACACAGAGACCAAAATGAAAGAAATGTGCTCCAGCCACAAAGACAGGAGACAGATGCTCTACTCTCATCAAGAGCTAGTCTCAGAAATCCACAGGGACTGCTAACTCTGTCCAAAGGGTCACCTGTGTTTTGACTTGATGGCAGTGAATGAGTTTGAGACATAAAGATACGACTACTCTGAGTCCCATCTTCTGTAGCGTTTGCATTAATATTTTAATAACTCACACATGCATAGTGAAAATAGGAAGTACAGAAGGCGCTGTGGGATTTGTGCACATGGTATGGGGGGGGCTTCAAAAAGTTCATGGAATAATAGAATAAAAAGATAATGGAATTTTCCCCTGAACTTTCTGAAAACCTTTGTGTGCCATTATCATTTGCATAAAACTAAGGTAATAACATTCCCCTAGCAATTTATGTCAATGCTGGGCCTGGTGGAGTCATAGGTTCAACACTGGGCTGCTAACTGCAAGGTCAGCTGTTCCAACCCACCAGCTGGGGGAGGGGGGGGGCTGTAGGGAGAGAAGGGAGGCTGTCTTCCTGCTCAGGTAAAAATTAAAAGCCTCTGAAACCCTACGTAGAGTCGCTATGAGTCAGAACTTACTTGAAAGCAGAGAGCTTGGTTTTGGTTTTTATGAGCCGGAACTGACTAAACAGTCATGGGTTTGGATATTCATACATATATGGATATATATGGATATCCACACTCACTACTGTGTGTGTGTGTATGTGTGTAACTAAAGAAGGTCATTTCAGTTATCAATGTGGACATAAGCATTACTGCTGGCTGCAATATGCCATGACATTGCTCTTTTCCTTGCTTTGCAAACAGCAGCAGCTGACCTGATGATGCATGGATGACTTCTCATATAATCAACACATGACATCATGTTAGTATTATCTGCATGTCAGTATCTAAATCAGGTAACACATTTCAAAGGAATTTCAGCAATATCTTCCCTTTCTACGCTTAAAATAGAAGATATTAAAGTTGGTATATAAATGAGGTTGATATATTATTAACTGTTCCATTTGCTGCAACTAAAGAATGGAACGTTAGTATCCTTTTTAGTTTCAAATCCAAGGACAAGTCTTCTTGGGATCCTACAGACTGCACTTCCAACTCCACCACACCCCATGGCTCTACTTCAGAGGTAGTTTGACTCTTGGTAGCAATTTGACCACAGAAGTTTCCTAGAAGGAAGGAGGCAACAATCTAAGACAATTAATTTTTTCCTAAATCCATCTTTATTCATGAGTTTTTTCTAGAATCACTCCAGAACACACCTTAATTTACTACAGATCAGAGGGTTCTTTATGTTATTTTCCCCAACATTGCCAAAGTATTGAAACTCTTTTTTTTTTTTTACAATCTTTGAAAATACTTTATTTATAACAAAGCAAATAAAATGTCAGCTTACAATGTTCAAGGAAATACATTGTTTTTAATATTTTTTACTGAGAGTAGATGACTAAAATATATGCAAATATTTACTCTATACTGTCTATAATCTATCAGAAAATTCTGGAGGAACCCAAGTATGCTATTTATGCTAAATAATATTGATTTTCTCGAGAACTTTCTTCATGAACTTATAATACTGTTATTATTGTTGGGTTTTTTTGTTTTTGTGGTTTCTTTTAGTTTTTTTTTTAACATTTTATTAGGGGCTCATACACACATCAATTGTGTAAAGCGCATTTGT